GTCGCCCGCTAGAGACTCAGATTGAGAGGGTCTGAAGACCTTTAATCGAGACTTCAGACTGTTTAAGAACCTTCCGTAGTATAACTATCATAGAAATTGAACTTGGTAAATTGCAATCCGGCTTAACTGCAGTCTAGGGGCAACCATATCCGGGTGACCTTTCTTGACTTGAAACAACCGTTTAACTTGCTCTGCGTTTTTGTTTGCTTGAACCTGCACTAAAGTTTCACTGCTAGATAACAAGAATTCACCGAGTAGTCATCAAATCTAGGACCCGGGTTGACATTAAAACCCAAACCCGCTATACTATGCTTTAGGAAGTGGTTACACTTGGCCATTTTCTAGAGTGACAGTAGGAGTGAGTCATCGGGCTTTTCATCGTATCACAAATGCTTGCGAACCGACGAAATGTTTGTGAGGATCCTCAGTGCTAGGTAATCTCCATGGTTGCATCCCCAGCCGGAATGACAACACATGAAGCTCGGGCTCCAGTCCTTCGTAGTAAAACCTATCTCGTAGTAAAACCGGAAAGTCCGGGTATCGTCTCTCAGGGACTGGTACAACCTTATGATTTATCAATTCTATGGAGTAAACTATAGGTGGAAATGGTTTGGTTGATGAAATTATTATCTAATAGCAAATTAATTAAACAAATCAAGCAAATTAAAATGGTCAGGAAAAATTCACTGGAGAAAGCTCTGGGAGAAACACCAGGACTCACTACCTATCATATCAAAATTAATTCACATATTCTAATCACTTTAAATCCAATTCTCTACAGCCAGGATATCACTATTGTGCTATCTATCCCTGTCGGGAATTACTACGTACTAAACAACTAAATCAAATCCTACTGTCGTAGCTCAATGACTTAATTGTTCAGCCTGAAGACCGATATCCCAATCAAGACCACATAACACCTTATTTAATCCACTGTCACTTCGATAAGTTGCTATGTCACATGAAATATGTTCAGTCATTAGGGTTTCACTGTCGCTAATAACCTAATTAACTACATATCAATGTATTGGTGGCCAGTCAACACAAAGCATTAAGAAATTCCATGCAATAGAGATTGGAAGAAAAGAAATACGAATCAATCCATCAAGTCTAGAAATAGCTACATCCTATGGTGTTTCCCCCAGAAATTTGGGTTTAGTTCATGACGAAAATAAAACACACAATCATGTTCATATTCATCATATCACTAATTAAAATAACGGGACGAAAATACTCTGATATAATCTCAAGCTCCGATGCGATCGACCAGCTCTCCGATTAGAATTCTGCTCGTTGCTGCTTTAGTCCCAATTCTCTCCCGCTGCTGTCTTTTTTTCCCCAAGAAGATTCTGTCCCGTCCAAAAACTCCTCTCTCCAATTCCAAGCTGCCCTCGCTGCTTTTTTCTCCAAAACAGAGATTTCGTCCTCTTCCTCTTAATTCCCCTCCGTCCAAAAATTATCCCCCCTGCAATTTCCGTCCCATGCCAAGTCTCCCCGAGAAGATTCCTCAACCTGGTCCAAATCAATTTCCTTCCTCCAGCCGGTCCAATTAATTGCCTCCTAATTCCCCCGTCCTTCTCCAATCCTTTCCCTAGTAATTTGCTTCTCCTCCAATAATAGGCCCGATCCAATTCCTTCTTCCAGCCGGTCCAATTAATTGGACAAACAAACCCATCCATCCACTTAGAGTCAATCCATTCAGCGATGCCAATTTCTCATCTCATTTACCTAAAACATATAGAATATTTGGCACTCGACGATAATGGTTATATAACTATTTCGGGCTTAGTTAGACAAAAAAACAAGCATTATATGTCTTAAACATATCATGAAATAATCACATTAAGTACATGATATTAATATGTTTTCGACAATTATCAGTCGCGATCTTGGGGTTCTAGGCCGCGATCTTCTGCTTGTCTTTGCGATCCAGGATCTTGGCCGTGATCTTTACTTCTATGCCACGATCTCCAGTCTTGTGCCCCTTTTCTACACTTGTGACCTTGTTTTGTACCGAATTCGCATATATCGTCTAACACACTCTAAAATCACATCGGTTTTGGTTTTTCAGAATTGGGTCCGAATCCAATTCAAATAGAAATGGAATAGTGACACAATTGATGGCGTTTAAGCACTTATACACATGAATTGGCACGAAACAAGCCTCAATATGAACGGTAAATAACACACCAATTTAGGTGTTATTAGTAATAAATGGTTGCGGTAAAATAGCATACCGGCGGCCTATATAAAAGTTTGTTTGTACGGTTCAATTTTGGTTTTAAAATTCGGAAAAGGGGGGCTCACTAGTGATGGCAATGGGGTGGGGCAGGTACCCCAATGCTAGGGGTGATAAACGGTTGTCGGTTAATCGGTTAACCGCATTACCGAACCAAAAATATTGTTTAATCGGCTAATCGATAACCGTTTATCATCATCGGTTGGCGTTCTCAGTTGGGCGTTTGGGGAATTTGGGTAACCGACGATTGCGTCGGTGCACCGCATACCAGTCAACCACCCTCTTTTTTCCTTGATATATTTCCTGAACCTCCTAATCCTAGTTCCCAACTTCTCCCTCGTTGCCCCCATCCTTATCCCTCAACTCTCATCAACCGCTCACATCCAGCACTACCTAATTCCCAAACGTGAGCCTCGGCCCTCCTTCTTTCTCAACTCATCATTGCCCTCTATGGCACCTCCTATTCCAAAACCAGACATGCAATCAACGAGAACCCTAAATTGATGAATCCTCTGCACTGCCCAAAATTGACACCACCATTGTAACACCTTAGGCCAATCCTAGGGGTGGGCATTCGGTCGGTTCGGTTTCGACCGAACCGAAATTATGAATACCGGGTCCCCGAATTCTCTCAAACCGAATTATAATTCGGTTCGATAATTCGATTCGGTCGGTTTAAACCGAATTATAATTCGGTTCGGTTTGGTTTTTCACCCAAAACCGAATTTGTGAAGCTACTTGTATTTTCTCACTTTTAAATTATTTTTCACCCCTAATATAAACAATAAATATCAATTATATGCATCATCAATGATAAAATCAAACTTTTCAACACATAAGTCATAAAACATTTCAAATATTTAAGTCTTAAAACAACTACAAACATAAAATCCACTATTTGGAGCTTGCAATTATAGAATTTCGGTTTTTCGGTCGGAAATTCAGAAATTCGGTTTGGTTGAAAGAACCCTGGTTTCCGAACTATCCATATTTTCCTTCCGAATTCCGAACCGAATAGCATTAATTCGGTTTCGGTTCATTTTAATTCGGTTTTGGTTCAGGTTTACCGAACCGTTTGCCCACCCCTAGCCAATCCCACATCGACAAAGCACGTGAGAGATCCATGATTCATAAGTGGGAAACCGGCCTTAACTGACAAGACGCGTTTTGGGGTGTAATGGAGGAGTTCTTGTGAGAAATCCGAAGTTAAGCGTGCTCAGTGTGGAGTACAACAATGATGAGTGACCTTATGGGAAGTCACCCTGAATTGCACCCAAAGTTGAAATCCGCGCGGGTGTAGAGGCCCAAAGCGGACAATATCTTGCTCGGGAAAAGGTTCGGGATGTTACAAATGGTATCAGAGCCTCTCCGCGTCCCTCTTGAACGATGGTGGGGAAAACCTCAACGAGGGTGTTAAGTCCCAAAGGGGGTGTATGTAACACCTTAGGCCAATCCCACATCGACAAAGCACGGGAGAGATCCATGATTCATAAGTAGGAAACCAGCCTTAACTGACAAGACGCGTTTTGGGGTGTAATGGAGGAGTTCTTGTGAGAACTCCGAAGTTAAACGTGCTCAGTGTGGAGTACAACAAGGATGGGTGACCTTATGGGAAGTCACCCTGAATTGCACCCCAAGTCAAAATCCGTGCGGGTGTAGAGGCCCAAAGCGGACAATATCTTGCTCGGGAAAAGGTTCGGGATGTTACAGCCGTCCCTTCTTTAATTTCTTGTTGCCCTCGATTCGCACGACCATCAGACCTCTCCCTCTCCAAACTTGCCTTCGCACTGCTACCTTCCTTACCCAGTTTCGTTCTTCACCTGCCACCACCAAACCACCCCATCCTAAACTCGTCGCCCACTGTTCTACATCTTTGCCAACACCACAAAGGAACTGTCGTTGTCCACAGCTTCAATCCGTTGCGCGTAGGTCAAATCGCTCGATCTAAGTCTAAGGTCGCGAATCCCGCCAACAGAAAAGAGAAAGTTCCGATCGATTGCCTCCCTCATCTACCTCGATCAGTGTCGCTTCTTGCATGTTCTGCGCGGCGGCGGATTCAGATCTGGATCTGCCTGATGCCTCTTCCTCCGACGGTCTTTCTCTTCTTCCTCAATCGTCGTGTCAAGATTTGGCAGCGGAAGGATTGGCAGCTTGTCGGGTCTCCTTCAAAGACTGAAACTCTGCCTTCCCTGAAGCTGAATCGGTCGCCGCACCGTCAACCCACCTCCTGCGTCGATCTTCAGCTAACCGCGACACCGATCCGAAACCGTCGACGACGATTTTTGGCTAACCGAAAAGTCAACCGGTCTCTGCGGCGGTTGAGGTTTTTGGATGATTGTCAGCTGCGGTTACCCGTGTTTGCGGTTCGGTTAAAATCGAAACAACACCGTTAACAACCCTACTCAATACCAATGCCCCGGCCCCCACACTACTGTGGGTCGGGGCAGAAAATACCTGCGAGAGTATGGGGCGGGGCAGTTAAACTCACTCTTACATGTTATTTGAAACAAATACACGCAAACTTTTACTTTTTTTGATAAAATGAAGGGGAAAACATTTTATGAACGAAAATAGTGATAATACATTGGGTAATTGAGTCTAACTAGTTGAAGAAAAGTCAAAATATGAAAAAATATGAATAAATACCGTAAGAAATTTAGGTATAATGAACAAAAAATGGGGCAAAACAGGACATGATGAGTGGAAAGTAGATACTCATATCCAATCTCATGCTAATGCGAGTCGAGTAATACTAGTTGCTCACGGGTCAGATCGGATATTACCCACTGAACGGATTCAAACTCAAAGGATAAGGGAATAGAGGAGCAGGGAGGATTGGAGGTGGAGACAGGAGAGGTCCCTCTGGTCTGGTCGTTTAATCCCCCGAAATCATCGAATCACACTGCCCTTCTTCACCCGTCCCATCCTGTCGCCTCTCCATTTTCTCTCTCTGCTTTCAATCTTTGCGCTTCGCCTTCAGATCGGCAAAAGACTTGTACAGCAACAGCAGCCTCTCTCTTATCTGTTCATCTCCTCCATCCGTTTCATCATCTCTTGTTCATCGTCTCTTTTTTCCCATTCAAGATCAACCCATTTTGTCATCTCGCTCTCTCTACATTATTAAATATCCCCAAATCATATTAAAACAAAAAAACAGTGGAAGAGGTAAACCACATGGATGCCAACACGCAGCAGCAAGTTCAATCCTCCTCCACGTACGCGCCGCCGCAGCCCACAATCACCACCACCGGCACGCCTCCCCCTCCGCCGCCCGCCCACCACCTCCTCCAGCAACAGCAGCAGCAGCTCCAGATGTTCTGGTCTTACCAGCGCCAGGAAATCGAGCAGGTGAATGACTTCAAGAACCACCAGCTCCCCCTCGCCCGAATCAAGAAGATCATGAAGGCCGACGAGGACGTCCGGATGATCTCCGCCGAGGCCCCCATTCTGTTCGCCAAGGCCTGCGAGCTCTTCATCCTCGAGCTCACCATCCGCTCCTGGCTCCACGCCGAGGAGAACAAGCGCCGCACCCTCCAGAAGAACGACATTGCCGCCGCCATCACCCGCACCGATATCTTCGATTTCCTCGTCGACATCGTCCCCAGGGACGAGATCAAGGAGGAGCCCGCCGCCCTCGCCGGCGGCCCCACTGCCAGTGGCGTCCCTTATTTCTATCCCGCCATGGGACAGCCTGCAGGTCCTACCCCTCCTGGCATGATGATTGGTAGGCCTGCCATGGAACCCTCCGCCGTCTACGGCCAGCCACCTTCCCGGGCCTGGCAGTCCACTTGGCCAGGGGCTGCCGCTGATGATGTCTCTTACGGCAGCGGAGGCACTGCTGGTCATGGCGGCAATCTCGATGCACAAGGGTACTTCTCTTCTATACCATTGCATGATTCCATTCAACTTATCTTCTGAATCATTAGTATGATTGCTCTTCAAAATTTACCGACCCCATGTTTTGTTCTGTGACTGTGAGAGATATCCATGAATAAATCAGGTATCTTGCCTCTTTTTTTCACAAATTTCAAATTTGCTCCTTCTGCTCTAGTGATGCCATGAGGGAATGGGTCTGGTTGTGTTGTTCGGATTATTGCATTGTCTCTACTTTGTACCTGTTTGTTTATTCTTAGTGGATATAAATTGTGATTGCCTCATTGGGTGGATATTGGAAGCTTGTTATGGAGTAAGTGGCACAAAGTTGAGTAGTTGAAATTGGTACTTGTTGAAAGTGCTTATTTGTTTAATGCTGAATGCAGAATACCTACTCACTGGCTTGATTTTTGTTCGTATCAAGGAGAACAAGAGTTTACTAGTTTCCTTAGCTATTAGCTATACTGGAAAGGTTGTCGTCAGTTACTTGCTCTCTCAGTTATGGTTAGATTGTCTGGCTTCCGTTGTTCAAGATTAGACTTTTTTCCTTTTATGAGTCTGTGAAAAGGATTTATGTTCTTCAGAGAGGAGGTGGTAAAACAACTGCCTGCAGTTGTTTGTCACATGTGTTATTCGAAATACTATAGGACTTGAAGATGAACAGGCCAATGAATGGTGGAAGCTCTAGTTAATGCAGATCCAGTAGAATTGCTTTCAAAGGGAAGGTTAAATGACACATGTCTGATGATTCTCTGCGAGTTATTTTATAAAGTTGTCTTTTGCAGGAGTTTGAGGTCAGCTTGATATGCAATGGATGTGTTGTTTTTTTCCTGTAGAAATATAATTCATGTGTGGCCTTGTTCTTCTTCTTAGTATTTACGGTTTGTGAACTTACAGAGAAGTAGTGTAAAATTCATGAAGTTCATTAAGTATCCTTGAAGTGGCTTTATTACTTTTCCTGTTGGAGGTTTGTCTATAGCAAAATAGATAAGAGGAATAATGTCAGCTAAGCAATTCAAGGCGTATCGTCACAGAATAGATGGGAAGTTGTTGGGAATTTCGACATGGTTTGGAGTCTGATTCAGAAGCTGAATATACTCTTATGTTCTGTTATGCTGCCTAGGTGTGTCAATTTGATTTACAAGTGAACTACGCGTTGCGCAACACTACTGTTCAAGGATATGGAGATTAATCTTGTTGTGATCAATGTAGTCAAATGCATTTAGACACTCATTTTCCTCTTTTGAGTGTCTGAACTTGGATTATTTTTTAACTACATCAAATCATAAATGGATTCTGAATCAGATAAATACTTAGTTCTATAGTAGCCAACTAGCCGTTGATCTGGTGCGGTTCCATTAAAGTGTCTTTGTTGATAGCTTTATGTTGTATAGTAACATATCCTGCTTCAAGTCTGAGTTTAAGTTCCTTAGTTACATGCTATTTGCTGCAATCAACGTAGCTTGTTTGGTTTGCCTAATTATGCCGCATCAGAATCTGTGGGTTTGAAGCATCTTACCAGAGTTGTGCTTTTGCTGTTTCTAACTTTATTTCTCCACTCTCTTTGGATATTCGTCGGTTATTAGGCTAGTTCAACTTTCCATTGTATGGAAAGGAAGACATGCCATGTAATACTTCACGGTCATGTTTCTGTGAGTAATGTTCCATTTGAAGTTCATAAAAGTAACCAATTAGGTTTATGATGAAACCTAGAAATCGGATGCCTTCTGTGAAAATGCTGTAGCTAATAGCTAGCTAAAGTGTGATGTGAACACGGGAATTTGTGCATAGTTTTTCAGTGTTGAAACCTGCTGAGATGCGGCTTTAGAAGCTCAAGTGATTGTATATTGATTGTGGTTAACAAGGTATTCTGTTTTCTTGTTGTTGTTGATTTAGTTAGCCACAGACTCCACAGCTTTGCTTCAGCAGCAGCTGCAGTACTCTTTGGTGGGATGTGCAGTTTCAGAGAAGGCTGGCCTTGTCTTAGTCGGAAGTTTTGCATGAATGTGATGGTTTAATTGTACTCTGCTATTGTTTCTGGGAAAAGAGGGGGAGAAAGATGCCTTTTTTCTTGTAATAGCATGACTAGAGACCTCAACGAGAGGCGAATTAACTTGATTGTGCAGCAAGCTGCACGACTGCATCCGCAACTTGCCTAATTATATAATGTGCAGTTCCTTGACTTAAAATTCCCAAGTTTTCTCAGTATGGTGCATAATGTATCCCGCCTTTAAATTGCAGCTCGATAATTTCATATAAGACGTAGTTGAAAGAAACGAGTCTTGGCATGGTGGCGACTATGTTCAATTTGAACCTGTAATTTAACTGTTGCAGCAGAGGTTTTGATTCTTTCTGCTTCATGATGATCTGCATCGAGCTATGATTCTTTTTGTTGAATAATCCGTTTGCTTTTGTATATCTCAATTCTGATTGGACAAATCCGAATAGTGAAGCAGAGGTTTTGCATACATGCATAAATAGTCGAAGTTCGTATAATAGCCATAATTAAGTGGTCTGTAAGATCGGAGACCAGTAGACGAGGAATGTAGCAGGACGCGACCTCATTAATCTCACTTTGGTGGTGTCATAGGGAAGCTTGAAGCATGTGTAAGAAACAAAGATTGTTCACATTGATATCGATCCGGCTGAAACTGGTAAGAATTAGGACTTCTTAATGCATAGCTGTGTGGAGATGTGATCATGTTGGCATTACAAAGGATTGATGAGCTCTTCAAAAGCACTGCCCTGGAGAGTGGAGTTGAAATAAACATAAGCATCTATTGACCTTAAGATGTGGTTAAATGCACCAGTTGGCACATACGTATAGTATTTGTGCACGGCCACCATCTAAGTTCTTTTTTGTACTAAATCATGTAATATGGATAAAAGTTGTACCATCAACGTTTCTGTCACCAGATCTATGGATAGCTACCCAAAGGGTAATTAACCGTGCCATGTCGACATCCACATAAGTTGTTGAGTCATATATCTTCGTCCTCCATTTTGATCCAATAAACGGACCCTTCCTATAATTCAAACGCCGGTTATGCTCAATTGTTGTATACTTTCCTACAGATCTGATAACAAACATGATAATTTTTTTTCTAGAACACCTGGTGTGATTTTATTACTCAATCATCAGAGAGTTACAATCCGAATTAAGCTGCGATAAAACAAAAAAGGGTGGCTTGTCCTCCTAAAATTCATGGTCCTCCTAGTTACAAAGAGTGTGGGCTACTATATGGGCCGCGTTGTTGCAGCTTCTCTTGACAAAACTCCAGCTTATCTGGCCCAACACCTGGGCTTGGGCTCGGATATCGTCGCACAATCCAATCTCCACCGCAGGGAACCCCTTCATTTCCACCACTTCTAGATCGAAGGCAATAGCCTTGAGTTCGTCTATCTCAGGACTCCACTGGCGGCGATCTCGACGGGGCGCCGTTAGCAGATAGGCTCCGTTCCAGTACCGCACCACGAGCCCCGCTCATGTGCCCTCACCTGCAAAATTGCGGCATCGACATTGATTTTCACCCATCCCGCCAGCAGTTTCTTCCAGTGCTCATGTGCGATTTCAGCCCTTCCTTCCTCCTTCTGTCTGACTAATAGGAATTCGTCATAGTAGGAAAGAGCCCGACCCATAATTTCCCATTCTTCCACCTTTTTTCTTGTTGAATAGGTGGTTGTTCCTCTCATTCCAAATGTTCCATAGGATCATTGTGAGTTTTGCTAGCTTCTCCTCTTCTATGTCCTCCGATAGTTCGCAGAACCAAGTTGTGCAAGATAGCTCTTCCCCTCTTTCGAACAACTCCTTAAACTCTGTAGGAGACCAAATCCGTCTCTCCCATGCGCATTCTCTGAATATATGTTCTTGGGTTTCCACTAGGTTACAGAATGGGCACTCCACCGCCGCTTCTTTCTTCCTCGACTCAATACTCTTCCCCGTCGGTAAGATGTTTTGTAGAAAGCGCTATAAGAACATTCGTACCTTAGGTGGCACACGGAGCTTCCCTTCCACCGGGTCATAGGTTTTCTCTTGATCTAAATCCATTTCCTCCTCCTTCAGCTTCTGCCTCCACACTTGCTTATCTGGTTGTGGAGTTCCGTCGGTCTGGTCTATCTGAACTCATGGCATGTCTGCTCTCCCGATCCCAAGGGACAAGACTTTCTTCAATAGCTGCCGTTTCTGGTTCACTTCCTCATAGAGAAAGAAGAAGGAGTTGTGCCATCTCTATCAGCTAGCGTTTTTGCCCTTTTCCCAGTTAGCGGGCTTACCGTTGTTAGGAATCGATTAGACTAGATGCCAATAAGAGAACAAGGGAAAGAACTGAACTTCTAAGCTGGGTTGTGCAAGTGAGCTGATCTCGCCTTTGTTGATCCGCTTAAAGAGTTCTTTCCTTGATGGAAGGAGATAGAAATAAATTATTCTCAGCTTCTACTTTGATAGGCGATTCTCTTCTTCATTCTTTTTGTTTATTCAAGAGTTCTTTGAGCGCGTGAGATTTCAATGACAGTTTGATAACTGAACTCCGTCTGGTCCTATTTCAAACAAAAGAAGAAAAGAAAGGAAATCTTCGTAAAGACAACAAGGAGTGTCAGCTTCGAATTGATAGTGAGCATTCTTGGATGGGTCGACTTCCTTTGTCCTGATCACTGTTACAATTCGCTCCAGTCGAGATATGATGGCTTTGTTAATTTATGTGAATGATATGATTGTAAGAAAGGATGCCAGTACTCGTAAAAAAACAAAGAATGACAGTGAGGAATTCAACGCCTCACAAACGGGTTACATGTTTTTTTAGTTGAAAAAACTTGGCCTACTTTCTTACTTTCTCGATTTTGAAATTGCAAGGTAAATAGAGGGCATTCTTATTCGGAAAAGGAAGTATATCGATGAATACATGACCCAACATCTCATATGTCGTTCAAGTGGTTTATGCCATATACTTGACGAACACACCATCCGACCTCAAAATGGTCACAAACCTTTAATTTGTAATGATTCGATAACAAACCTTGGCAATTAATACAAAACACTCACAAATTAAATAGAAGTAACCATTTCAAACTTTTGTTACCATATTGTTACAAATTAAAGGTTTGTGACCATTTTGTACTAAGTGTAAAGGTTTGTGACCATTTATACTAATTACCCAACCTATTAAAAATCAGTTTTGTACTTACAAATGTCATCTTTCTTGATGATCTTTGGATGGACTGCATCATTCTATTCAATCCTTCATCTCCTGATGCTTGACCTGTAGCAAAGTGGTCATTTCTACTATGAAAGTTTCCACCACACTGCGGTTTGCCCCTTGTTCCTTTTTGAATTAAATGACTTATTGTGTCCTTCTACGCATCAAAATATTCCTGGTAGTCTCAAACATGTTTATGATTGGTTTGGTCCTAACTCCTAAGAGGGAGTTATTCCAACTCTCGCAAATATTGTTTGTCAATAAGTCTGACTTGCAGTATGGTTGAAAATGTGACCTAGACCACTGTGAACACGTGTTTTCCAATAACCACTTATGAGGTTTTCATCATGATGATCTTTAAATTCAGTCATGCACGTTTTAGATTCTCAATCATAGCTTGCTCTAGCAGCATTCCATAAAAAGTATTAGGTTTATTTATTACCTTCTTGTGCCCTAAATGGATTTACAATGAGGTGTCTAATGCAACATTCCATAACAAGTCTTTGATTATTTTATCAGCCATGTTTAAAATATCTTTGTCACTACTCAATTCTTGTAGTCATTCCTTCTATCGTTGTCCAGGTGGTCTCCAATAATATGCCAATCCATTTGTCATTTTGTATTCTTGTGTCATTATGATACTTTCAAAATGGGTGATCTCAACCGGATATAGATCAAGTTGAACAAATAAAAGCAATTTGGACCAATCCGATCCATATATTTAACTTCACCAAATACAAATCAAGTTGAAAGAAGCTCCACCAACTCCAGATTTGAAGCTATCACAAATGATACTAAGATAGCTTGTACAAGGTCAAAGAAGTTGCTAGAGAAGATCGAGGAGTTGGAGTACGAAGCATCAGAGGACTTTCAAGAGTTCATATACAAAAGTGGATTCAATCCACATCCCATGGAGGCACCAACGATGAATGCAACTGGATGGGGTGATGAGGGACGTCAGAACACGATTGATCATGCATCCAATGATGGCATGTTCTTCAATCGGGAGTAACATCTATTGTTTATTTTGCTTGGATTTAAGAGTTGAAGCAATTTCTCTCTCTATAATATGCTTTTGTTTGATTTAAAATTTCCCTAAACAATAAGAGTGCTACTAGCATTAGCACCTATTTTGAAATTTGAACGACAAATGGAGTAACCCGTTTTCAGCTTTTGCATAGCTCACTATCTTTTAGTCTATTGAGGACAATGTCCATTTGAAAGTGTGGGGTGGAATTGGGTGCTACGTGTTACTTGGTTAAGCTCGATACATGACTTAATTTTAGTCATTCAATTTCGAAATCTATTGGTTTTATGATCCATTTGAATTTTTTTCAAAAATACTAAAAATATTTTCATTTACAGTCATTTTCACTGCTCTTCTTACTTTGAATCCATGAGTCTAGGGAACATAATTCAATCTAGAGAGGATATTGTAGTGACTATGAAGGATGCGATAGTCAATGAGATATAAACCGCGTCGTCCTCTATCACAAGTCTCTAATAATAAAATCAAGATATAATGTGTGATCTAATAACAAAATCTGAGTTAAGAAAAGTATTACATTTAATTAGGCTATTAGTTTAAAGTTAATTTACCTAACAAAACCTTTGCAGTGGTACGACTTATATTATTATACTATTAAAAAGGCTGCGAGACGAATGGCTTAGAAGGAGGGTGAGAATTCAGATTTGAAAATAGAATTTCCCGCAGCTATATCCAATTCATAAAATATTCGTAATGAACAGTTACCCATTTTTTGCGGTTACTTGCACTTTAAATATATTGATTTTCATCTTACGACCAACAACATAGTTGTCACGCTACTAACCTTCTATTATGTTAGCACCTAATCTGACTCCTAATTTTCCAAAGTCAGATGTAATTGAAAGCAGTTTCTCAACCAACTACCCAACTGCAACAAACGCCCATCGCCTTTCTTCAACTCTACTCTTTCTCCACCAAACCGTAATGTTACACATGAGAGAGCATATCCAATCCAGGCACAAGGCTGTAGAGTAGAAACAAAAACAAACAAAATTCCAGAGCTCCCACCTCACCACCATCTTCCATTATCATTAGAATTGATAATGAAAGGAAAGCAGCTCAAGTGACAGCTGACTTGCTAGCCGATGAAAAATCAACACTTGCCCCCCCAAAAGCAAAATCTTTTCTGACTCAATGATCAAACAACAATGGAAGTTCTCAAATTGAAAGGAAGGAGCCAATTATAGTATCCTGACCAGTATCCCTTCAGCGACAGAGATGTCGAGATTTGGCAGCTGAAGCCATTGCAGGAGGAAGAGAGGCCGCCGCCCAGGTAGCGCTTGAAGATGCCACCTCCAGAAGTGCTTCATTACCGCTCTCTCGTAATCCCTCTCCTCAAAATTTCGCCTCCAACCATCTCCCCTGACTCCGACCAACCACCTGCCCGTAAGCATCTCATCTTCAGAGCAGATCAAAGCATGAAGTTCCCAGCCAGAAAGCTCCTTCCCCTCCTTGTCTTTCTCCTCTCCAGCTTCTCCATCTTCAGGCTCCTCAGGATCGCAATCACCACCACCACTTCTTCTTCTACTGTTACCCCTCCATTGCTCCCTCTGCCTCCACCCAACCCAACGACCGGACCGGTCGCCACACGCCTCTCCAAGAAGGAGTTCAAGCTCCTAACCAGCCTCATCAAGAGCAGAGCGCCCTGCAACCTGCTGATTTTCGGCCTCGGAAAACAGCACCTGAAGCTCTCCTCCCTCAATGCAGGGGGCAACACTCTGTTTCTGGAGGATGACTCCAAAAAGATCAGCGAGATTCAATCCGACAAATCCAACGCCACCTGGATCCACAAAGTTGACTACCCGCTACCAGCAAAGAAGGCTTACGAGCTGCTGAAGCATGCCAGGGAGACTGCAGACTGCGGACCTGATAAAGCCTCGAGCTTGCAGCTTCAGAATTCGACCTGCAGGCTCGCGCTGAGGACTCTGCCGCGCCAGGTGTACGAGTACAAGTGGGACGTGGTGGTGGTGGACGGGCCCAGGGGCGACTCCCCTGACGCGCCAGGCAGGATGTCGGCGATCTACACAGCTGGGGTGTTGGCCAGAGCGTCGCCGAATGTGACGCATGTGGTGGTGCACGATGTTCATCGGACGATTGAGAAGTGGTTCTCGTGGGAGTTCCTCTGCCATGGCAACATGGTGTCATCGAAAGGCAAACTCTGGAGCTTCCGAATTGGAGGAGAACCCAGGTCGGGGAGGTTCTGCCCCGATTAACGGGGCACAGAGTACGTGATGGCGCCTCGGGGATGGAGGAATCTAGCTTGGTTTTTGCCGTACAGAGTGTTCTGACTGCCTTGACGAGATCTACAACGGAATGTCATCAGTTTAGGTGGCTTCTTAGGCCTGGGGTAGTTGATTCATTATATTAGACACTAGCATAAACCCGCTCGCTCTCGCTTCGCGTGCGAGCGAGCGAGAATATAACATTTTAAACATTAATAGTTTGAATTTTGATCTAAAAATAAAGGGCTTGTCATCTACAACTTCATGTAGTCGATGCAGCGGTGAATTTTAATAAGCGAGAAGGGTCGTCGAGCCAATGATTTCTATGTTAAATATTCTCCTGTAATACCATTGATTAATTTTAATTTTTTTGGTTTTGTTTTTTTCCCCATTTCATTCTGAAACAAAAAGAAAAAGAGAATTTAACAAACACTAAAGCGGATAAACGCTCATGACCCAAAACTCGGCAACATCATGTTCAACTCTCTTTGATCGAGTTGAACCGATTTTGTAACAAATTCACAATCGACCAGACCAGACAATTACAAAAGCGAATAAAACTCACTCACGCCCGAGAAATTAACAAACACTAAAGCTGATAAAACTCGCTCACGACCCAAAACTCGGCAACATCATGTTCAACTCTCTTTGATCGGGTTGAACCGAGTTTGTAATAAATTCACAATCGACTTGACCCAAAAATTACCAAAGCGAATAGAACTCACTCCTTCCCGAGAGCTTGTAAGCATCGGGTTCAAGTCATTTTTATCAAGTTAAATTAGGTTGGATACCCATAGGTTTGGGTTCTCAACCAAAAGGAAAAAGATAAATAAAAAATACTAAAGCGGATAGAGCTCGTTCCTCACCAAAAACTCTATAATACACCAAGTTCAACTTGCCTTCACTAGTTCGAACCTGAGTTTTTCCCGATTCACACTTGGCTGAACATGCCAATTCTAAAAGCAAATAAAATTCGCTTTCGGTACAAAACTCGTCACTCGTCAGTACCGAGTCTTGCTTCAATTGTCATTCTCAACGAAAAGTAAACGGAAAAATAAAATAATATTAAAGTGGCAAATCTCGACTTCGATCCAAAACTCGTCAACATGTGTTCAACTCGCTTTGACCGGGTCGAATTGATTTTTTAACAAATTCACACTCAACCCAACATGGCAACTACATAAGCGGATAAAAACTCACTCTCGATACAAAACTCGCCAATACAATGGGTTTGGATTCAATTATCATTTTCAACAAAAAGAAAAATTGAAATTTAAAATTACTAAAGTTAGGTTTAAGTTGCTTTCACCTGGTCGAATTAGGTTGGATACCCATGAGTTTGAGTTCAATTGTCATGTTTAACCAAAAGAAAAAAGATAAATAAGAAAACACTAAAGAATATAAAACTCGGTTTCGATACAAAACTCGGCAACACAAAGCATATTAGTATGAATTTTCGGTAACAGTCTTGGGACACGGTGGATGGGTACAAGTACAACCTAGGATTCCATCGACAGTATTTTGAGATATGGTATGGATGTTCAGTAGCGGCCGTGGCAAACAGTCGAAGAGTACAACTTATGATTTCGTCGATAGTGTTTCGAGATGGGTTGCGAATTGGTGGACCAATGCGATGATTTGGACGAAAGATCATAGTCGAAAACTTAATGGATAATTGATGCAACAGGGAAAGAAATGAACAACTTAGTAGACAATAACTACTATGAGAAATTTAATGGGCAATAGATGTAGACACAACAGACAATAAATAAAATGAGAGAGTGCGGTAAAAGAAGGACTTGTCACTTCCCCACTTGCACTTGGAGGAGTTTGTGAGCCACTAAGGAATATTAACTCCAATGTTAGGCTTTTATATAGTAATTTTCGCCTTACTCATTTGTTTGCAATATTGGAATTTCCCCACCCGTATCTCCTAAAAAATTCTCATTTATTATTAGTGATTTCACAATGATTTCTCTTTGCCTTCAACTCTATCATCGTCCTACTAGTGTGTTGCACATTTCTCCCTCCTCCTTTAGTGTACTGAGTGATATTGATTAGTCTGAGGTAGTGAAGCTGCAAGCTGCACCGAGGAAAGTCAGTAGAAGTTATGGGCTAAGGCCCCGACTTCCAGATGATTTTTCTTTACTGGAATGTTCGAGGGTTTAGTAAACCCTCGAAGAGGCAGGATTTTGTCAAAATCCTGCGAAAGCACAAAGTAGATGTAGTTGGAGTTCTCGAGACTAGAGTCCATGAAAATAAGGCGGAAGAGAAAATTGAAGGGTATTTTGATGGTTGGGAGAAGTTTTTGAACTATGTCGACTCAAACTTAGGGAGGTTATGGTTATTTTGGTCCCCCTGATTGTAAGCTAAGAGTGCTGAAACCGAGTAAGAATTTTATTCATTGTCTGGTGCAAAGTGCTTCTGGTGAGTCTTGTTTCTTCACAGCAGTCCATGCGTTAAATGAAGAAGTTGAGAGACAAGATACATATACTGATTTGAGTAGATATAAGGTAGAGGGCCAAGCTTGGATTGTGGGGGGAGGGGGGGGGGGATATCAACACAATGATGACTCTAGAGGAGACATCTAACATGCGTTATATCACGGCCAAGATGGAGGATTATTCAACCTGGATGAATAATATGGAGTTAGTGAACTATAGGACTACTGGTCCTATTTTCACATGGTCCAACAACCAGTAAACAAATCTTATAGCAAAGAAACTTGATCAAGGCCTCGTGAATGTTGATTGGATTGAGAGCTTCCCTAATGGCACAATGGAGGTGATTCTTTGGTACTTTTCAGATCACAGTGGGATTTTAGTCAATACTTCTCCGATAATCAAGAGCCTCCCAAAGCCGTTCAAGTACTTTGATTTATGGGCAGACAATCCTCGATTTATGGAGATTGTAGAGCATGCTTGGACTACACGTTTCAGAGGAAACCTTCTTTATGTAGTGCAAAGTAAGCTAAAGGTTGTGAAAAGGGAGCTTAATAAGTTGAACAGAGAAGTGTATGATAATATCAGTGAGCAAGTTCAGGCAGTGGAACAACAGCTCCTAGTGGCTCAAGCACTAATATAATCAAAGTTGCGCAGGGTCAAGCTTCTCGAACCAAACAGAACCGGATAGGATGGAAATCGATCGGACAGTACTCACCCGTGAATAAGGGCAATCGATATATGAATCGATCGGACAGATTCAACTCGGAATAAAGGGCAATCGATATGGGTAGCTCGCCACAACCAGGGTGATTACCTAGCTGATAAGAGTCGCTCTAGCACTCTGGAGATTCTCGACAGAGTAATTAGGGCAAATTCCGCGTAGGAACTCGGGTTTAGCCTCTGAAATTCAATAATAATCATCTAAGGGTAAAACCAACGTGTTCAGCCCTTTAAATAGGCAAAATACATCCCAAATCCGACTCCAACATGGAAAAACAATCATAAACCGACTTTAAAACAAGGAAACTCGGAAACAGCCCAGCAAACCCGTTAAGCCCAAACCGTTAAGCCTGGACCCGTTAAGTAAACCCGTTAAGGCTGGACCCGTTAAGCAAACCCGTTAAGGCTGCTTCTCGCAATCTGCCTTCTCTTCAGCACTTCCTCCTTCTTCCTCCACTCGAATCATCATATATGGCTTCCCTCGAAATAGCTCCACATCCATGGCTACAAAGTAGCTATCCAAATATGTCGCAAGCTTCTCATTCAAGTCCTTGCTTTAGCACGTGTGACTGGCCCATTGATGCCCTCATCAAGCACTAGCATTAATGTAACAATCATAAGAGCATTTTAGCAACAAAAAATTACTCCAAGAACAGTTTGAAGTGTTGAGGAAAGCTGAAGAGGATTTCTATAAATTGAAATCTCAAGAATCTTGGCTCTCTAAAGGTAACCTGGGGACTAGGTTCTTACACCAAGCTGTTAGAATTCGAACTGCCAAAAGTGCAATAAGAAAGATCATCTTAGATTATGGGGCTGTAGTGACTGATGTTGATGAAATTGCAGCTGAGGGTATTAAATTCTACAAGGGTCTATTTGGTGTTATTAATGAGGATGTGGTAGCTAATGAGGAGGGAATCTATCGGGTAATCAAGAAGCATTTGGCTGAAGGTGAGCAGAGCATGCTGATCATACCATTCACAAAAGCAGATGTGCGTGAAGCAATATTTAGCATGGATATACACTGAGCACCAGGTCCTTGTGGATTTTCTGCAGGTTTTTTTGCAGAAAACTTGGCATATTGTGGGAAGAGATGTGACCAACGCTATCTTGGAGTTCTTTTGGACAAAAAGAATGATCAGTGGGATAAATTCTAAAGTGGTTTCTCTTTGTCCAAAGGTACCCAATGCTATTCATCTTAAAGATTTTAGGCTTATTTCTTGTGTGAATATAGTCTACAAGATAGTTGCTAAGATGCTGTCAAAATGAGTTAGAGAGATTCTTCCTACTATGATTAGCCCAAATCAAACTGCTTTTATTAAGGGGCGCAGAATTATGGGTAACATTATGCTGGCAGAAAAACTTATCAATGGTTATCATAGGAGAATGTTACATTCTCGTTGTGCGATAAAAATAGACCTTATGAAGGCGTTCGATTCAGTCAACTGGGATTATCTGTTCAAGGTTCCGCGTAGGAACTCGGCTTTAGCCTCTGAAATTCAATAATAACCATCTAAGGGTAAAACCAACGTGTTCAGCCCTTTAAATAGTCAAAATACAACCCAAATCCGACTCCAACATGGAAAAACAATCATAAACCGACTTTAAAACAAGGAAACTCGGAAACAGCCCAGTAAACCCGTTAAGCCCAAACCGTTAAGCCTGGACCCGTTAAGTAAACCCGTTAAGGCTGGACCCGTTAAGCAAACCCGTTAAGGCTGCTTCTCGCAATCTGCCTTCTCTTCAGCACTTCCTCCTTCTTCCTCCACTCAAATCATCATATATGGCTTCCCTCGAAATAGCTCCACATCCATGGCTCCAAAGTAGCTA